GTGAGTGTCCGAGGGCGTTGCGCTCCTGTCGGCGTTGTTGTTTGTTTGTTTTTGATCCGTTTATTTATTCTATATTTAAATTACGTATTTTACGTATGTTTATATATACACATTTGTGTGTGTGTGTGTGTGTGTGTGTGTGTGTGTGTGTGTGTGTGTGTGTGTGTGTGTGTGTGTATGTGTGTGTGTGTGTTTATATATACGCATTTGTGTGTGTGTGTGTGTGTGTGTGTGTGTGTGTGTGTGTGTGTGTGTGTGTGTGTGTATGTTTATATATACACCTTTTTGTGTGTGTGTGTGTGTGTGTATGTCTGTGTGTGTGTGTGTATGTCTGTGTGTGCGCGCGCGCGTACATGCATGCCTGTATGTCTAAATACCAGGGGTGCAATACGGCGAGGCCCGCCAGGTTATACAATAAATGCTCCCCGCGTGCAGTGCCGCAAACATCCAGATATTGGTGCCAGAGCGAAGGGCCGGGTGCCCGCCGCCGCCACCTGTCCCAGCTGGTGTTGGCGCGCGCTCAGAAATTGTTGTGACTTCTCGCCGGAAACATCTGTCACACCTGCGCGGCGGGGAAATGTTTATACAGGGCCAAAAGCTTCTTATTTTCTTTTCCCCATTTTTTTTCCCATGTGAAAGTATTTCCCCTTCTGGTGCTGTATGTTGTCACATTAAATTGAGGGGAGGGGGAGAGGGAGGGGGAGGGGAGGGGGAGAGGGAGTCGGAAAGAGAGGAGAGACGAGAGAGGAGGGAGGGAGAGAGAGAAAGAGAAAAAGAGAGAAAGAGAACGACAGAGAAAAAAATAAAGATGCATTCCATAATGGCGATGCCACCTTGAATCAAATCCTCACCTCCAGCCTCTTCCACCCCCATCCTCCCCCTCCCCCTTCCTCCTAGGCACGAAAGCAATGCCCCGGGGACTCTCCGCATCAGCCGCGGGATCCTTAGCGCCCCACGGAGCCTACGACAAAGAGCCGGCGAGAAAGAGTTGCTACGTGGATGACAAGAGCTCTCGGGGGAGTGGCAGAGGTCTATTGCTGTCTTTATTACGCGCTCCAGCTTGTGGGCCTGAGGAAGGGTGCTCGACTGCGGTCTTGCATGCACGCGCATATCGCCCGGGCTATTTCCCCGGTGCCTTTCTGTGCATTTATTCGGGGATGCATTTTCATTTTTTTTAAATTGTGTTTTGTGTGGTAGTTAGGATTTATTTGTTTATCTTTGTTTCTGGTTTTCTCTCGACATGTATCTGTATTTCTATGGATATCTATCTACCTATTTACCTATCTATCTATTTATCTATCTATCTATCTACCTACCTATCTATCGTTCTATCCACCCATCCATCTATCCATCCAGATCAATTTGGAGGCCCACAGACACACACGGACACATTAATTAATCAAACTTGGAGGCCCACAGACACATAAACAAATCAACTTCGAAGCCCACAGACACATAAACAAATCGACGAGGGGCCAGGCAGAGAGACGGGTCACGGCTCCCGAAACCTCCCGTGGCCGTAAGTGGCCCCTTGCGCCGGAAAATTACCCTTCGCCGTCGGAAGGAACTAAATCACACGGTACAGAGATGGATGTCAGGCGGCCGCCCCGTGAGCCTCTCCTTCTTGATAAAGCAGGGGTAAATTGAGACGTGAATGGAGAACCGATGACGCAATGGAGGGTCGGATTGGGTGAGGGCGCGCCGGTGGTGTTGTTGTTGTTGTTGTTCGTTATTTGGGGGGATGATTTGTTTTGTTTTTTATTATGGTAAGGGATATGTCTTGTTTTGTTGATGGGTGGTTAAATGTTTAGAATGAAATTTGGTCGAGATGGAAGAGCGATGCTGAATGCGTTGCAGAGGAGAGCCTAACGTTATGAATGATCGAGTCCTGACTACATCATTGTTCGGGTATAATTATTAACGCATACACATAGATAGACAGACAAATAGATAGATAGATAGATATAAAAATAGATAGATAGGTAAGTAGATGTATAAACGGATAGACATATATGTAGATGTATAAACGGATAGACATGTAGATGTATAAACGGATAGACATATGTAGATGTATAAACGGATAGACATATAAGTAGATGTATAAACGGATAGACATATAAGTAGATATCGATAGTCAGCCACCCCGGTATTAAGACCTAGTCAAATATATACTGTCAACATGGCGCCAAGTAGTTCCTCAAACGCCGCATCTGTGATGGCACGAATAACAAAAAGATATAAAAAAAATGAAGAAAAAAAATGTAAAAAAAAGGTATAATCACAGTCCCAGTGGATTGATAAGCACAAATGACGAACAGATACACACGACGTCTAACATAATGCTACGATCGATCAAGGGATGAAGACCCATATTCAGCGGGCTAGATTTTCTCGCGATATTTCACGAGATCACGTCACTTATAACGGCGGTGGGCGGGAGGCTGGCGGGCCGCGCTGTGAAAACTGCTTTGAATAATTAATACGGTAATATATTGAAGAAACCCAGAAGGCTTGGAAGGCGGATGGGTTGGCGGGGCACAGAGGGAGGGGGGGGGGGAGGCGAGAAATATGGAGAAAGTGTAATTCGTATATGTCTATCTACGTGTCTTTCTATCTATCTAGCTGGGTGTCTTTCTATCTGTCTATCTGTCTGGGTGCCTGTCTAATTTTTAAAATGAAAGTGTGATTCGTATCTGTCTATCTGGGTGTCTCTCTGTGTGTCCAGCTTTTAAATGAAGGTGTAATTCTTACCTATGTATGTGTGTCCATATCTATCTATCTACCCATCCATCCATCCGTCTATCAAGCTATCTATCCGGGTGTGATTCTTATCTATGTATCCATCCATTTACCTCCCTGTCTATCAAGCTATCTCTCCAGGCATTGAAATGAAAGGGTAATAGATTTATGTGAGCTGTAAGGATGATAATGTGAAGAAGAAAAAGGTAGAGACAAAAAAAGAGAGAGGAGGCTAACAGAAAGCTCGGCGAGAAACAGACACAGAAAAAAATATACAAATAATGAAAATCCAAATTGAGAAAATTCACACAAAATAGAAAAGAAAAGATAGGACAAAACCCCAAATAACAAATCCGTGAAGCAAAGAAACAAACAAAATAAACATCCAAAAAAACAGCAAATTATATTAAAAAATAATATACCTAGAACAAAATATTAAAGAAAAAAAACTTCAAAACACATAAAAGAAAAAAGGGATCTAGCAACGCACACAAGCACGAAATCAAAGCCAGCAGCGACTTCCTTACGCAACAAGCAGCAAGAGGCGCGGAGGGCCGGCCTGTAGTGGGACAAGTAGTAAAGTGGAAAGTCTGAGGCTCCCTCTCCGTACGAAGGAGAGAGGGAAAGAAAGAAAAAAAAAGTTTTGGAACCTGTAAGAAAATAAAATAAAAGAGTCAAGGCATCCTTAAGGCATTCAGCTCGTTGGAGAGTCGAGCGCGTCGTGGGGATGAATTAAGGGCGAGGGAGAGGAAAGAGAAATTACAAATAAAGAGAGGAGGGAGGAAGAGCGGGAGGGAGAGAGAGGAGGAGAAAAAACAGAGGGAGCGGAAGTGGAAATGGAAATGGAAATTGAAGAGGGAGAGGAAGAGGAAGAGGGAGAGAATGAGGAAGAAGGAGAGGGAGAGATAGAGAAAAAGAAAGAGAAAGAGAAAGAGACAGAGACATAGACGGAAAGAAAATGAGAAACAAAAAGAGAAAGAGAGAAAGGAAGAGTCAGAGAAGGAAAGAGAGAGACAAGGCAGACAGTTGAAAAGTTATAGATTTTTTTTAAAGATGTGTTAGCCGTCTGTGGGAGGCGACAAGTAGGAAGAGGAGCAGTGTGATTAAAACGTCAGGCGAACCGATAGAGACTGAGGGGCGAGGAGAGAGAATTATAAATTGTGCGAATAAGGAAAGAGGATTATAAATTGTGCGAATAAAGAAAGATGAACTTGGCTTTAGTTCGAAAAGAAAGGTAGGACAAAGGAAGAAGAGAGAATTTGGAAACTAACAACTGCAAAAATAATGATATTAATGATAGTTTTAGATACTGAATGACGTGTTGATAACATGGATGCTTATGACGATAATTTTTACATATTCATTATAATAATGATCATAATAGTACGAATAGATATAATAATAATGATAATGATAATAATTATGAAAATAATAACAGTGATAGTAATAATGATAATAATAATGGTAATTACGATGATAATGAATATAATGGTAATAGTAATAATGATGATGATAATGATAATGATAATCATAATTATAGTAATGATAAGGATAATAATAGAAACAAGGAAAATCCAGTTTGGTACAAAAGAAATCGTGGAAATCCATCCGAAATAAGGAAAAAGCAGAGGAGTGAGAAGAGTAGAAAGAGTACGCGGCAGAGCTGGAGTGGCGAGCGTCGGCCGGCACCGCCACCTCCCGCGGCCTCAGGGGATCGAGTGAGTGAGGGAAAAGGGACAGGGGGGCGCGCGTCTCAGGGGCAAGGGGAAGCTCAAAGAAAGGGTAGGGTAGGGGGGGAAGGAAGGGGGGTTGGGATCTTGGAAGAAGGGGTGGCGGGTTTGGAAAAAGGGGAAGGGGGGGAGGGGGACAGGGAGGGGTGGGGGGTGACGCTACTCGAGGTTTATAAAGCCCTCATTAACCTTTTTCATTCTTTCTCGGAAGATCCCATTGTCACAGGTCGTCCGTCACCGTGCCCTTCGAGTGGGCCTTCGCCTGCGGGGTTCGGGCGGGCTACCTGACGGAGGGCGCTGGAGATTCTCCCGTGGGCCTAGGGATCCTGTAGGAGACATTCCAGGAAGGCGTGGGTCGTTCGCGGAGGCTGGGGGAGGGAGGGCGAGAGAGGTGATGGGAGGAGGTTATTAAAGAGGTTAGAAAAGAAGGAGCAAGGAAGTAGGAAAAAAATAAACGGACGAATAAATACATATGCATAAAAAATAAACACTGAGAAATGCGAGGCAGTGCCGGAAGATAGGGAGTGAGTG